TCCTTCCTTCCTTCCTTCCTTCCTTCCTTCCTTCCTTCCCTCCCTCCCTCCCCCTTCATTCTCCTTTCTTCTTCATTTCCCCCTTTCCTTATTTTTCCTTCCTTGTTCCCATCCCATCTTTCCTTCTTTGTCTTTCCTCTTTCCCTTTCTCCTTTCCTCTGCCCTCACCCCAACCCCCAGCTCTATTTTTGCTGGCTAGTCCTTCACTGTTTCCAGGGCGGCCCCATGGGCCAGATCTAAGCACCCCATGGGCTGGATCCAGCCCATGGGCCTTGAGTTTGACACCCCTAATCTATGTTCTCTCTCTCCAGTATAATTTCAATGGCTTTTATTGACAATTTTTTTAAAAATTGTTCTCCTAACATGGAACCACAGAATAGAGTTTCATCCATAGCCTTTTATATTGGTATCCAGAAGGCACCCCTTCTCCAGCAGCCTTTTTATACATCTAAGCTTTTGTCTCCTTTCTGACTATTTTCCAGTTTTTCATCCGTAATGTTTGTTTGTTTTTTGCTTATTTACTTACTATTGACTAAATGTATACACCACCTGACTCTCGGTGATTCTGGGCAATTTGCAAATGGTTAAAAAGCATTAAAATATCTTTGAAAAATCAGTAGGTTGGGGCCTGTTCAAATCATGGGGAAAACTTCAAACCTGGCAGAAACCGTTTTTCCCTCCCAATTACTGTTTTTCTTTTCGTGAGTTACTGGCCTGTCATAATGAGAGATTTATTTTTCTAATATTAAAAAAATCTACTTGGTGAAAAAGTAGATAGTCTGGAGTGTTTATAGCCATAGCAACTGTAGGTCCTTTAGGTTTTTTTAAAAAAAACCCTTTTGTCTTTTTATTTTGGTCGTTTAACTTTTACCATACAAGTGGTGCTCCTACCTGGTCCGATGCATTAATCTTTGTTAATACATGCTTCTGATAAAAGTGGCAATATAAATTTTCTAAATAAATAAAATAAAATAATAAAATAAAATAATAAAATAAAATAATAAAATAATAAAATAAAATAATAAAATAATAAAATAAAATAAAATAATAAAACAATAAAATAAAATAATAAAATACGGCTCTCCTTGCTGGTATGTTGGCTTTTACCCTAACCTTCTGTTTCGGTCTAATAATGCAAAATGCTGGCTAATAATGTTTACTATTCCATTGTAATGAAAAACAGTGGGACCCGCGAAGAGCGTCGATAGCATACAGTGCCTGCCAAATGATACCAGATGTTTAGGCAATAAAATATTTCCCACGCTCAAATAGTTGTTCGGATTACCTCAGGTAATTATTAGGGAGACCCTGTGGAGCAACCCTATTATCCCTGAGGTTTAATAGAGAATAGATTGAATGGTCTAAAATGTTTTTTTTTCTTTTTCTTTTTGAGGGGTGATTAACATTGGACAAAACTGCAGGAGGCTTTGAATTGGATGTCTTATTCCTAGCAATCATCTCTCTTCTTGTACGCTAGTTAGTACCGTAGTATCCTTTTTTTTTCTAGATTGGCGGGAGCTCTTAAAGGAAATTGCAATTCGAAGCCAACCCCCCCTTCCTTTTTTTAAAAAAATGAAATGTAAGACAGTTTAAACGGGTGTCAAACTCGCGTCGTGACGGTGGTGTCACGCGACAGTGGTGTCACGTGACATATCGGGACTTTCCCCCCCCTTCGCTAAACTGGGCGGGGCGGGGGAGCACGTTATACATTCGGCTCTGCTGGCCGCAACAAGATGTCTCCCGCCAAGAAGAATGTAGGAAAATGGAGACTAGCTCTCTCCTTCTTGAGGTGCATTAGGAATAAGGAAAATGAAAACAGGATACGGGTAGTCCTTGTCTTACAACCATTTGTTTAGTGGCCATTCGAAGCTACAGCGGCATTGGAGGGAAAAAAAAAAGTGAGTTATGATTGTCCCAAAGGTGCTTTTTTCCGAGAGGCAAGTGGACTCTCTGGTTTTTGTTTGGAGACATTTCGCTTCTCATTCAAGAAGCTTCTTCAGCTCTTGCAACCTCACTTCCTCTGTGGTCAAGTCACGTGACCATGACTTGCAATTTTACCTCAACCTTTTCTGTTCATCGGTTCTATTCATTCTTCTTGCTGCAAGCCAGTTGCGAAGCACACCAGTGGCGAGACAAGGATAAATGTAAATATGGCTGCAAAACTTTTTTTTTTTACACCATCATCACTCCATATGGTTGTTAAGCGAGTCAGTCATACGAGGAGGACTTCCTGTAATGCTTGCAATGCTAAATGTGCTAATCTCTCTCTCTCTCTCTCTCTCTCTCTCTCTCTTTTTGCTTAATTTACGGCAGGTTTGTGAAGGATACTCTCAAACGAAATCATATGCCACAAATACTACGGGAACCACCAGCCCCTCAGACAGAAGGACCATGGATTTGAGATTATACATGCTGTGTTTCCTTCCAGTTGTAATCCTCATGGTTTTCATTCGAGATCTTAGACCTCTCTCTGTGTTCTCATTCCTGGCAAATTTAGCCATGGCTGTCAGCTTGATCATTATTTATCATTATGTTATAGAGGTGAGTAGCAATAGCCCTTGGACTTATATACCGCTTCATAGTGCTTACAACCTTGTCTAAGCGGTTTACAGAGTCAGCCTATGCCCCCAACAGTCTGGATCCCCATTTTACTGTCTTTGGCAGTGGTGGGATTCAAATGTTTTTACTTCTAATCCTATGGGTGTGACTTGGAGGGCGTGGCAGGGGAAGGATACTCCAAAATCCCATTCCCTCCCCACCCCACTAACCTGCTTTCCAGCTCCATTCTCCTGTGCAGGGCAACCAAAGAAGACCCAGCCGATCAGCTGGGACTCAGGAGACAGAGAATAGATGGGGGTGGGGCCAGTCAGAGGTGATATTTGCCAGTTCTCTGAACTACTCAAAATTTCCACTACCGGTTCTCCAGAAGTGGTCAGAACCTGCTGAACCAGAAGTCTTCTGAAGACCTCTGGTCTTCAGAAGGATGGAGTCAACCTTGAGCCGGTCAGGATCGAACTCCAGACTGATTTGTTTGTCAGTGTCACATTTGGTTGCGTTCTTCCCTGATCCTTTATACTGTAGATTTGATCCTGTGTTTCTATGCCTTCCCGCAAGCGCTAAGGGTGGTTGAAACCAACTCACTGGAGAAGAAAGCAAGGAGAAACAACTCCCGTACAGGTAGTCCTTGACCTACGACCGCAGTTGAGCCCAAAATTTAAATTGCTAAGTGAGGCCTCTGTTAAGTGAATTACGCTTGTTCAGTGGATCACTGCGGGTGTTAAATTAGTACTTACTTTACTTTATTGTCATTGCACCTTCTACAACGAAATCAAACACCATCTTCAGTGCACATCATGACCATGAGCATGAAAATAAATACAAACACAAATCCTTCACCCTCCACAAATTAAACCAAAACCCCCCGACACCGCACCAATACTGCACTTTACAGCAGAATTCGAAAGAGCTACTGCCCTGGGATAGAAGCTATTTTTCAGCCTATTTGTCCTTGTTTTTATTATTCTGTACTGTCTGCTAGATGGTAATAATAATAACCCTGTTGTTAAGTGAATCCTGGCTTCCCCATGGTCTCTGCTGGTCAGGAAGTCGCAAAAGGAGATCACATGACCCCAGGACACTGCAACGGTCACAAACGCGAGTCAGTTCCCAAGCGTTTGAATTTTGATCATATGACTAGGGGGATGTTGCAATGGTTGTGAGTGTGAAAAGCGGTCATAAGTCACTTTGATCGGTGCTGTTGCAACTTCGAACAGCCACTAAAGGAACGGTTGTAAGTCAAGGACTACCTGTAGGGAATTTTTTTTTTAAGGAAACTGATTTGAGCCTTTCTGATGTAGCAGCTGCATCAGCAGAATTTTTTTTCCCCAAAGAAAACAACTTGACTCTGATCTTGAAATCATGAGGAATTGAACTAGACTTGAGGCCTTAGGATCTTATCTCACCCTACCTACTGATGATTGAGTAGAAACGCAGAGGTGGTGTTCAGAAGGTTCTGACCAGTTCTGGAGAACCGGTAGTGGAAATTTTGAGTAGTTTGGAGAACCGGCCAATACCACCTCTGACTGGCCCCGCTCCCATCTATTCTCTGCCTCCCATTGAGTCCCAGCTGATCGGCTGGGTCTGTGATGACCCAGGGTGGGATACAAAAGCAACAAAGTCACAAAAATAGGTGAAGTCCCTTTAATTCCTTCAACTTGGCCTCCAAGGTCCAATTATCATTGACTGAAGAAAAAACTCCCCCACCACGAACAGTTGCGAAAAGGAAGAAATTCCATTCAAACTCAAAATACATATAAATTATAAATAAAAAACAGCAACACAAACCACACTGAAGCAATTAATGAGACAAGGCAGGGTAAGGGCTTGGAGACGTCCACAGATATTGAAATACACACACTGGGAAGGATGCCAGACCTCAGATAAGAACTGTCAGACTAGAATTATTTCACGCTTTGCTTCCAGCATGTGACCATGCGCAGTTTGTCCTTTTAAACAGTCCTCCCAACTGCAGCCCATGAAGGGGATCAGGCCCTTTCCTCCCTCATAGACCACGCCATTCATGTTTCTCCCTTATCCGCTCCTCCCTATGTGCCCTAGGATGAAGAGGGGATGGCCTGGGTCTTCCTCTGAATGCCCAGTTTGCCTGCGCCCTTCTCCAGTTTCCTCCACAATCTCCTGAACCACCTCCCTCTCGGCTGTTCCTCTTCTCCCTCGGAGTCAGATTCTAACAGGGGCATGACAAGATCTTCTTTGGTTGCCCTGCACAGGAGAATGGAGCTGGAAAGCAGGTTAGCGGGGTGGGAAGGGAATGGAGATTTTACAGTAACCTTCCCCTGCCACGCCCACCAAGACACACCCATGAAGACATGCCACACCCACCAAGAAATCGGTAGTAAAAAATTTCTAATCCCACCATTGGTAGAATGCCACTTTGCTTTTGACAATTGTAAAAAAATGAGATATGCGACTAATATCATCAATCAATCAATCAATCAATCAGAATAGAGCTGGAAGGGACCTTGGAGGTCTTCTAGTCCAACCCCCTGCCCAAGCAGGAGACTATATCACTTCAGACAAGTGACTGTCCAGTCTCTTCTTAAAAAGCCTCCAGTGGTGAAGCACCCACAAATTCTGAAGGCAAACCATACCACTGGTTAATTGTCCCGCACTGTCTGGAAATTTATAATCATCTCCTTTGAACAACCCCATAATCCCTTGTGGGGGTGGAGTTTGGGCAACTGAACAGAGCTGAGGGTTTACTGGCCGGATGCCCTTCCTGTTACCATTGCGGAGTTATCTTCAGCAGATATATTCTCAACATGAATATATCTGTCTCTACCTAGGATCGAACTCACAGTCTCCCGATTGTGAGGCGAGAGCTCCACCTCTAGGCCACCGCAACCACTCATCACGAAGTTCACTCATCGTGAATGAAGAATATCCTTCATTGGGTATGATTTTGGTCACGTCAGTGGGCATTAGGTGGCCTACCTTTGCTTCTTTGGAAAAGAAAAAAAAAACTGCTGCTCTTGAAACTGTAGTAAAATTTGGTGTAGCTGCAGATCCACTCTTTGATTGCTCTCCCCAGGGTTTATCTGAACCTCGAAAATTGAACCTGGTGGCTGATTGGAGTAGATATCCCCTTTTCTTCGGCACAGCTATTTTTGCATTTGAAGGAATAGGAGTGGTGAGTATTTATGTTGGAATTAAAGAATCTGCCGGAGTCCTCTCAAATTCAAACACGTTTTTCTCTTCCCTTTATTGCTCTACTCTGCAATAAAAATGCATTCTATAAATAGAATAGAATAGAATAGAATAGAATAGAATAGAATTCTTTATTGGCCAAGTGTGGTTGGACACACAAGGAATTTGTCTTGGTGCAAATACTCTCATACATAAAAGAAAAGATACATTCGTCAAGAATCATAAGGTACTTAATGAGAGTCATAGGGTACAATAAGCAATCATATCATACTAGGAAACAGTCAATATAAATTGTAAGGATACAAGCGACAAAGTTACAGTCATACAGTCACAAGTGGGAGGGGATGGGTGTTAAGGAATGATAGGAAGATTAACAGTAATAGTGCAGACTATAAACATGCGATTCTCAGTTTTAGGGCTATCGTGAGGAAAGCGATTGGGCCGTTATGTCTCTCTGTTGTGCCTGAAGGGCAGAGAAACGTTGAGCTGGGTGTGTTGTGCACAAAGATTGTTTTGTGTGTGAGAGAAAGAGAACAGAAGAAGGGGTATTAGTGTCCCTACTTGCTGTCTCAAGGGATGTCCATGAGAAATGGTTGAAAAAATGTTTGAGATGGTAGCTGCCACAATAAGATCAAAGTTTTGCTTTTTTCGATATGTATCTTGAGAACGAGTGGATAGAAATCTCTGCAGCTTGCAGCCAAGAGTCAGCCTGCTTGCAGATCTCCCTTTCCAAAGACTAGCAAAATCATCACGAGCTGTCTTAAGTAGTAGATGATGATCCAATCATTGCAAAAATTGCTGCTATTTATATGTAGGACTTTCATGGTTAGCTTGATTGCGTTTATTTTTAATTTCATTACTGTAAATTGCTAAAGTTGTTTGAGCTCGGCAACAGTAAATATTTGTGGAAGCAAATTGATGAAATAATGAGAAGTTTCGCCCACTTGTGTTTTTGCGTATAAATCACAGACAACATTTTTTTTTCTTTAGTTCAGGACATAACAGCCTGGCTTATGCAACAGTGACTACAAATTTTGCTGTGGGAACTTGTGGAAGGGCAAGTCAGATAGGTAATCTTTGACTTGGTCTGTCTGTGGAGACTCATCCAGATCATCTTTGTCCCAAAGGTTCTATTTTTCAAGAGGCAATTGGATTTTCTGGTTTTTCTTTGAAGACGTTTTGCTTTTCCTCCAGGAAGCTTCTTCAGCTCTGACTGGATGGTGGGGAATAGAAGGTTTTATACTCCTTGCAGACAGCTGGTCACTTGCATTCTTTAGGGGACTTGTTGAGGTCACCTGGAGGTTTATCTATGTCCTGAGGGTCACCTGAGCTTTCTTGGAACTATTGAAAGGACTGTTGTAGACTGAAGATAGACAGTCTTACAACACAGTCCTTTCAACAGTTCCAAGAAGGGTCTACACTCATTTGTACTACTCTAGTGACCCTGACAACACAGATAAACCTCCAGGTGGCTTTCCAGTTTGAACTTTCCAGTATCAAGAACCATTTCCCTTTTCTGCTTTGGCAGTGACCACAGCATAGAAAGCAGAGAAGTTTATTTATACAGGACTAGCCGATAACCTGGCGTTGCCCGGGTATTTATATATCCCAATCCTGTATTAGACAGGAAAATCCTGTAGTCGGGGCTCACGCTGTTGTACTGTCTCTCGCGCAGCATCGCAAGTCTTGTATTCCTCTCCTCGGGAGTTTCTTGTCTGTGCTGGTGTTTCATTTTTTGACTGGACTTGGCCAATCAGCTGACGTTTCCTTGGTGGGCTGAGAAGGAGCCCCCTTGTGGAGTACTGTGAAGCCATTACCATGGCAAGTGCACTGTGCTGTACAGTAGAAGCCATTTTAAGGCACACACAACCCTGAGGGGGTGTTATGGGTGTCTTATCCCCACAGTATTTGTTTCCAGAGGGTAAGTCATCTGTGTACCAGGTTTGGTTGAAATTGCTCGAGGCATTCCAGAGTTATGCTGGTATCTATCAATCTATCTATAGCATTCAGCTTTGTTCGGGTATTTTCCCACGTCATTGTAGTCTGTCTGTCTTTCTGTCTGTCTATCTATCTATCTATCTATCTATCTATCTATCTATCTATCTATCT